GTGAGTGCTGTAAGAGTGTCAAGTAGCATGTGTGCAAAAAGCGATGGCAGTCCGCAAAGTATAGAGCGCTGTAGCGTGTTAATGTAGCCACTTAACGGTGCTGAAATTCGGCGCACATCGTAAATGCGCTGCACGTCGTTGTGTACTAGCGCAAACACATTATCGCGGGCCGAACGGAAAACATCAACGATCACTTCGTATTTCAGCGAGCCTGCAATGTCATCAATGGCGTTGCCCAGATAGTGTGATTGCTTTAAGTAGGGCAAAAATGCAAAAGGTTATAGACTAAGCCATCAAAAGAAATTTACGCAAACTCTATTTACCACAAACTGTTTGAAATTAGAAACGTTCATATTTTCCAGCATTAGCTCCACCGTTGGCTTCAGTAGCCTAACACGACTTTCGAAATCATCGAAAAGCGCATAAATTTCTTTGAAGAGCAACGTCACTTCAGCGCTGTCATCGTTCAGTTGCAGCGCCGACTCGGCAACGTGTGGTTGGTAGGCACAAATCTCAGCCAAAGCCGTTCGTACTTCTTCTACATTATCCTGCATGAATAGGCGTACTATGCGTTCCGGCAGCGTTAGCTCAAAGGCAGTTTTCAAATTGTGCATTGATTGTAGTGCCTCGGAGAGTGAGAGAAAATCGTCGTAGTACTGTTGATCGGCCTCCGGGAAGGCTACCTGGCACATTTGATGCAACATTTCGAGGAAATTCATTTGTTGGTTGAGCAAAAAGAGATCCTCAGTTTCAAAAGCGTCCTGTTCGAAGAGCAAGAATGAATCGTTGGCTTTTGACAATGTTTCAAGCATGCACGATTGCACAGCTTGCTTATGGCTGTCCGGGTTCAAGGCAATGAATGTGTGTATCGTAGTGACGGCGGCATCAAATGCGATTGACTGCAACAAAGGCATTAGACAATTAGCAAAGGAATAATGAACGTATGTGGCAGGAATCTCGAAATTTTCGCCTCTTTGTAAAAATAGCACGATATATGCCTTAAGGTATGCATTAAACTTTTACATAATGTTGAGGCGACTTTTAACACCTAGCGCTGAAAAGCATGCTACTTCCTCGATAAACCCGAATAAAAAGGGCAGCACAAGTAAGTGCGCAGCTATATAAGCAAAATTTTCATGTAAGAAATTATGCATATGCATTTCTCAAATGTCACATAGCAAAACTTTTACAAGTTATAAGTTGATATGACCCCAAATCATGTTAAGCTATCTTTATGTATCCCCTGCAAACTCTTCCGGATTTTATGAACGGCAAAGGCCATAGGGTCCCTGCATTACCATTGGCCATAGCACATACCTAAACATTTTTAATTAAAATGCAAAATTGCACATCTATTTTACAGAAGAGCGAAAAGACCGTTCTTTTTTGAAGGCATTGACTTGATAGGCGGTATATTCTGTAGCTATTATTTTACAGATATGTTGTTTTAATAACGATTTTAGGATTTTTATGCATAAAACTCGATGCCTGGAGTTCAGGGTTACCAAATCTCATTTTTGCCATTTTAGGCGGTTTTGCAAACGCATCGACGAATACATTTTGTGCAGACGCATTAACCCCGCCCCTCAACTCTCACTGAGTCAATCACATATCTAATTCATCTTTTAAGCACTTCTCATCCTGCTTATGAAATAGTTAAGTTTTTGTTCGACAATTTCATTACTTTACTTTATCTAACCCCCCAAAAAAAAAAAAGAATTTTCAATCTAATTCAAGAAAACAATAACATAGCTACAGTGAATAACCATCCCCTCTGTACTCACTCACCACTTGATTGGAGTGCTCATTCAAATCATTAATCGCCGTAGCCAATTGCATATTCGCCTCAATCCAAACCTTCTCCAGCCCATTTGCATATTGCACGATATGTCGCCTGCCAGTGTCTACTACACCAACTTGCTCATCACTTGCCTGCCACTCATCCAACTGTTTTTGCAGCTCTGCCATGCTCAACTCATCACTTATCAATTCGCGATAAGCTTTCTCATATTTAACCAAACGATTTTGCAGTAAACGCGAACGTGGATAAAATTGCATTACACCTGTGTATTGTTGCAGCAAATCGATGCATTCCAGGGCACAACGACACTGCTGATAGAGCGTATTGTCCATTTCTTTACGCGTGAAATCACATTGCGCATACAATTGCTCTTGATTGCTCTGCTCGAGCAGAGTGCGTAGCAATTCGAATTCATTCGCTGGTACATTATGCTGCAAATCGCAGAGTTGCATTTGCAGTGCCGATAGCTCATTTTTGGCATAAGCGGTAAGCAAGCGTTCAAAGTATGTATTGAGCAGCATAAAAGTATCCTTCTGATATTTTTGTACATTTTCTTTGACTGCAGTGAAAGCTTCCTTATCGTGCTTGCAAGTGTT